GGAAAACTGGCATGTTTTCTCACTGTTAGGGTTTGAATAATGCCTGTAATACATGTGTGTCATTGATATCAGCCCATTAGGATTTTACAGTGGTAGACCCCTGATCAGTATTGATCAGTGGCCTGTTAGATTGTGTAGCGATATTAGAGACAGACCTGGCTGAGCTTGAACATGAAGGAGAAATAAGAGTTTTTTCTCTTTTCAGCTGTTTAATCAGATTGGAGCAATATGCTGATTTCATTGTCAAAAACATGTTTACTTTATGGCAGATGATTGAGAGGACAGGGTGAAGAGCCCCACTTATCATCAACTGCAGCTGCTCCAGAAAAATAGATAGGGGTCATTTTCAGCAGGCTTTGACTGCTGATGTCCAGAGTCTGCACTTTCCATTTGTTCATACCAAGATGAATAGTTCTGAGAGGAGGAATTTTTTTTTTCTTTCTCTTGCTTCTATTTTATATCCTGTGTGTTTTTGGTTTTGCTTCTCTAGGAATTTACTGCACTGTGGCCTGCTGTAGTCAAGTGCTTCTTTGTGGGGAAAGATTATATTTCACCTCTACCCATTTTCTTGTTTTCTTATCCCAGCCCTTCACCCCATCCTAATCCTACTGTTTTCTTGGACATAATTCCCTCTACCTTCAAACCAAATTTGAAATAAAACTAGATTGTGTTTTAAATACTATTTTAAATTTAGAACAATGTACCACAGTTATATGGGAAATACAGTATAGATACAATTGATAAAATGATGCATTTTCCTGTTCCAAAGAAGAGGATACCTCTAACTGAAGGATTTAGCTCTGTAGAGATAAATTCCCCCAAGTATAGAGCTCCAGTGCAAGGACTGATGATCACTTAAGTATCATGTAACCCCTACTTTTTGTACTTATGCTGTATTCAATGGAGTTCACTTTTGTGAGTTCTTCTAACAAGACACAATATACTTTATTTTGATATTTTATTCTTGTATCTTGTCTTTGGAAAGCTCAATAAAGCTGGATTTTTTTAAAGCTTAGTAAGAAGCAACTACACATAGGGAAGGAAGAGGAAATAGTTAGCCTAGGAACCAGACATTGCTCATGCTCCATTCCTCACTCAACCCACCCATATTCAGAATTAAAGTTATACCTTGGCAATAAGTATCCTGAACATGCACACCATTTTTATAGCTTTTTAGAGAGTTTCGTTCCATGTACCAGGCTCAAGAGAAAAGCTAATGCCTGCTAACTGGGATAGCTAAGCACTGAAGGAAAAGTTAGACATGCTTACAATCCTAGATTTTTACAGTGCCTGTATTCACCTGCTTCTGAGCAAAGTTGGAAACAAGGATGTAGATAGCTGATTCATGAATTCAAACTGAATAACCTGACTAATTTTGCCTTTTTTTTACTTATAAAATATGTATAAGGGAATCCATTCATTATTCAAATTTACCTTGTGAAGAATAGCAATCTCCCCTCCCCTTCTATCCCTCGTTTCAGAATTATTCTGAACAATATCTCTCAGCAGAGGTAGCACTTAATCAGGTTGGATAACACCCTGCTCCATAACTCTTGCTAAAAGCAGTATTCATAGAAAAAATAAGGCTCCCCTCCTGGGGGAGCCTTCATCTCAAATGGAGGAAGCAGCATTCACTCCAGTTGTGAGATCCTTCGTTCTGTTAATATCCGTACATTATTTACCTTTATCTTAATAATTAGCCAATTGCCCATCAAGAACGATGGGGCGGGGGGAGTAGGCAGGAATGGAGGCCCAGGCCTCCCCCATTCAGGCCTGTTCCTGGCCCCACTGTCACCACTGACATCATGGCGCACCCACTCTTCCCCCCTACTCCCCACGGCAGGAGTGGGTTCAAGGCCAATGCGGGGAGGGGAGTGGCAGAGGAGTGGGCCCAGGCCCAAGGGGGGAAGGAGGCCCACTCCTTCCGTCCACCAGCTGCTGCTGTGGTCGCGTTGGGTCAGACCCGCTGTTCCCCCACCCCTGCCATGGCGGGCTGGCTTTTTCCCGGCTCAGGCCCGCTCCCCCCACCCCACATTACCTGCAGGGAGCAGGGCAGTGGGGAGCAAGGCTAGCCCTGCTGGCCTCGGCCACTCCTTCTGTCTACTCTGTGTTGCCACCACCTCCAGGGAGCAAGGGCGGGGGGCAAGGCCAGCCTGGGTCCCCACCATCATGGTGGCAGGCTGCCTTCTGTCAGAACACTTCACACTGATTGGCCAATCAGAGCGTGAATAAAGCATTACAGACAGACAGACTTAGGCTTTTATAAT